CATATTTTTTGCTCGGGCGGAAAATAAAACCATAACGGTCTTTGAAGCTTGGCATCACATGGTCTTTGTTCGATAGAGAGCAGTGCACCTGGTCTTCATGTAGGGTTCTTTTTCACAGTCATCCGAAGCCAGAGTTCCAGATAGAATAATTTGGGCAAAATCACCAAGTTTTATCTGTACAGGAAATGAAAAATTTTCTTCTTTAGCAGTATCGTGTTGCTTCCTCCAATCGATCCTTCCCAGTAAAACGCGACGTGTTCGTTTCTTTTTAGAATTTTTGGCACCTCATTTTTCCGAAGTGTTGGGAAATTGATGACTCTAAATAATTTCTCATTCCATAGTTATATCCATCTACCTAAGCAAATCACACACCGCAAGAGAAAAATAGGAAAAGCAATAAACGACACAAGATTTATATTGGTTCACCCTAACAGTTTATGGGCTGCGTCCAGTCTTCCCCTCAGATGCGGGTTCCACTATAATTGAGATTGGATACAAAGTACTCAAAATATCTCACCCCAATATTTGTCCCCTCTAGAGGTCCTAACAAAAGCCTCCTAGTTTCTAAGTATTATAAACACTATACTTAGGTACATGAATGAAAACACTCACAGAATAATCAAGATACAATACCCATAACATGATGATCTTGATCTTCCTAATCTGTGCTGCCAATACTCGAGCCTGCCACTAGAAGCTAGCTGCCAAACACCCCAAAGTCGGCTGATGCAAAAAACCCTACGCTGCTATATTGTGACGGCCCAAAAAAGCCTAAAACGGAACTGCTGCGTATTTATAATCGTCGTTACAGCGCATGGCGCTACGGACGGAAACGAACTCCGCCCACGCCCATCAGGACAGTGCCCTTAGCGCCGCGGGGCTGCTTCCTCGGCCCTCCTGGCCTGCAACGCCCTACTTCACCTATTTTCATCCTTGCTTTGTCCCGACGTGTCCCGTCTTGATCCTGACTCTTCCTTAGCTCGTTTCGACGTTGTTTTGGCTCCACCAATCCCAACACGAAGAAATGTAAATTTTTTATCTGGTGTCTCCTTCACCGTGGCCTTAACATAGCATAAAAGCTTCAGGTCCGCCTTCCCTCCGATGGCTCTCTGTCGACACTAATGTGTCCTTTGCTATCAAAGTGGAGAATCTGTTGACCATCTTTTTCTTCATCGCCCATTTACATCTTCTCTCTGGTACCATCTTTTCCATACCTTCCAAATACAAACCTCCTTTCCCAGATTGATAGATCCATTTATTTGATAGGAAAAAATCTCATACTTCTACCATAGGAATAAGTAGAAAATAACTGAGAAATTTAAAGAAAGCAATAAAATAAAGAAATACAAGAATTAATGTGGAAAAACTCTAAATCAAAGTAAAAACCACGGTACATAAGAAAAAATCTACTATGTGAAAAATTATTACAATCACACAGATTTCTCTCCCCAACCCCAATTAGACAAAATACTCCTTCAAAGTAAATACTGCTCAGTTAACTAGAGCTGGTATATCAGGCTTAAATAATTCAATTGGGATGATTAAAACTCAAGTCCATGAACTCCTTTTATAGTAGTTGGAACACACCTCCTCGTTGTACTTTTCCGACGTGGGACAACTTCTAGCACTTGGAGACCATCCTTGTATGGGACAACTTCCATTCCAATATTTTGTCAAATCCCAACAAATTCTACATTGACAAGATATTGAAAAATTCACAGCTTCTACTGCACTCATTGTCTTCACCGACAATCATAATTCTCAATTCAGAGAACTATAGCCTACTCCACCATAAAAGTAGATCACTTGGAATGTCGTCTTTCAAAATTTTTCTTCTTCGTCGCATGTCGATAAATCCTGCTGAAATTTATGGTACAACTTCTATCTATTTGGCTCACTTGGAAGTTCTTCAGCCATTGATATAACTTCCACCACACACCTTGCATAACTGTCAAACCAATGTCCATGTGTAAACTTGTGGAACCGCTAACATCACATCCTCTATCATGGTAAAGCGGACATAACATGAGGATGATTTCTATCTCTCTTCAAAGGAACTGATCATCTTCTCTCCTAATGAGAGAAACACTGTCAGCATCCGGCTCAGAGCCCTTTGACGAACCGACACTGTTAGGACAATCTTTCTTCACGTGCCCAAACTGTTCGCATCTCCAACAACAAGCTTTCTTTTGCACAGAGTCTTTCTTCTTCTTCCAATTGCTAGTTACCAGTTCTGAATCTTCATGTGAAGTACGCCCTTTCACTCTTCAGCCTTTTTTCTTCTGACAACAGTTTATTAGTAGCCTCGTCAAAGTTCAAAATATCCTTCCCGTACATCAAGATCGGCTTCATGTGTTCATAAGAAGGTGGAAGTGACAAGTGAAGGGATGTGAATCCCGGAGCGGAAGCGGACCTTCGTTCATGATTTTTGAGAAACAAAATCAAAGGTGTGAAGAAGTAAATATAGGGGAAAGTCTTTACCTTTGAAGAACTTTTCTTAACGAATTCCACCCGAACACAACCAAATGATCTTCCGTGCTATCCTCTTGGGTCTCGAGAACACGCTTGTGGGAGCGTTTCTTTGGAACGAAAGGGAGTATTGAGAGAGAGAGCTTGAGAGAGATTGGGAGTTCTACCACTTTGTTATCCCTGTTTTGTGTTTTTTTGAACTGCAAAGGGAAGGGATAACAAAGACAGTGACGTGGGGAGTTACCCCACGTCACTTAACTGACCACTCCCCTGCAATTTTGCAGGGGAGTTTAATATTAATATTAATAATTAATTATATCAAATAATTAACACTTAATTATTTATCACATAAATAGAATCATATTCTACAGCATTTCTCTCGTATAACCTATAGTTCTAATGTACATCTTATGCACATTATTTTTAACGTATAGTTTTAATATGAATCTTATTCATATTAATTTTATTTGAATCTCATTCAAATAATTTCTCTCATAATATATAGTTTTAATTTAGAATTAACTATATATTATAATGTATCAATATACATATAATCCCTTAAGTAATTTGAACAGGTCAAATTCTTCCATAAACTTGATCCTCGTTTTACCCGTTATGAGCTAGCAAGGGAACCTAATGGACCTACAGATCAGAAACTCCAACGATACAAGATTAATCGGTCAAACTCATTGACTGAGTTAATCAACATTCGTTAATTATGGGTCACTCCACTAAAGACCCGCAGTTGCACTCTTCTCATTGCAGAATGTTTTCGTGTCCACGGATATACGACCATTAATGACAAGTCAATCATTCACGAGTGCTCGTAACTGAACTTGGATCAAATTACCGTTTTACCCTTGAGTTACATCTTACTCCTTAAATACAACTGCTCCTCTAATGAACAACCCGGTTATGGTCTGACCAATAACCGGAAGTCCCCTCTCGGGCCAATGAGAGGATGGAGCCCCTTGTTCAAGTCCTGGAGTCAGCATTTAAGAGAACACTCATCTACTCCCCTAAAGTCGGGGAGGACTGAATTCCATCTTGTGAAGTTATGTTACCAGCTCCACACTCGGTCTAGTCCCCAAAATGGTAGGAATATTGAGTCGGCAACTTGGGCCACTCTCACTCATACAGATCAAAGGACGAGCCCTTACGGGCATGAGTCCATAACTCACTCAAGATTGAGATTGAGTTGTTTGGTCATCCTATGAAATAACAATCTGTTAGTCAACAGCGTTACATCTAAAGATTGTCTATTTCGCAATCCGGTCTTATACAAACTCATTGTACAGGATACCCCCACTCGCATGTCTCCACACGAACGACCTGGATATCGAGTCGTTTGTAACATTTACAAAATGGGCCGTATCCATAGTGTTGCCAGGATAAGGTACCCAGCCTTATCCATATACTATAGACCCTTTAGGTTATTCACGTGACATTATCCACTTGTATATCAGGGTATATCAAATATATACCTCGTATATCAATAGTATATCCAATATATCAAATATATGCCCAGTATATATACTGTCTCGATTACATTAAAATAACCTTCGATGTTTAGTTTATTGGATTTTGGACAATGCAATGTTATGAATTCAACAACAAATTTATTGAATAAAAATTTATTGAATATACATTTGTTTTTACACAAAATACAAACTACGAGTTTAGGGAAACACAGCCAACAACAAGATAAGCCTGAGTGTTTTATCTTCGTCATCTATTTTCACTTCGATCGCCTCCAGCTCAAAAATGATGATGATCTGACATTTTGACATTTTCGTACTTTCCTCAATTCACAGTGTGTGAAATTGCTCCTTCAGTTACAGTCGATTTGAGATGCCCTTTGCCTGATACAACGCTCATTCGCAAGAATGTTCTTAGCCAAACCTGTTTGTATCGCGCTTGCAGCCATCAAATCAATTTCAGACTTTACTAGACCGCTATCACCGTAGTTGCCAAAGTTGATCATTCCATCAAATTTCTCCACGCCAATCTTCACTAAACTCATAAAGAATGACATATCTACTTGACACTCCTAATTTTTTATGATGTGGAAGTTCAGATAATGCTGCAACCACAGAGCATACTAAAAAATTAGCTTTGATACCACCAATAAGCAGAAAATAACTAAGAAATACAAGAATTAACGTGAAAAAACTCTCAACTGGAAAACTTCTATGAAATCTCTTTTCAGAGGCATCCAAGTTCAATCTCTTTTATAATTACTCTATAGCTACCATTTCCCTAGGTTTTATTTTTTTTTGTATGTATGTTATTTCTCACCTACCTCTTTATGAAATGGTACTTTTTCTTTAAAAAAAAAAAGAAAAAGAAAACAAATTTCTATGAAAGTTTAAATTAGTACCGAAATGAAACAAGTGGAAGAAACACCCATGAGCCAAATTCAACCACCATTATTAAATCTTCTACCACTAACAAAAATAATAGATTACGGATAGGATCAAACCCAAGTCTCTGATATACACTACTACTTCACTACTACCAAATAAATGAGCTGGTTGAAACATTATTTCTCAACTTATTTTCCTTTTTTAACCTACCAAATCCTTCATTGAGAATGTTACAGCTAAAAAACTTTAAGAAAATCTCTTTTCTAACCTACCAATTCTAATGCTTCTTCTTGGTAACTCCAATCCTCATCAACGCAATATAAGCAACAAGACGATACCCAACAAGCATTACAACCAAGGCAACAACGGTTGTGAGTTTCCTATCAAGACCCACTTGTTTTATGGCTGGAAATTCCCCAATTTCACAGTGGCCTCCATTGCTGGAACATGGATAAGTTTCAGTAGCTTCAAATTGAGACATCAACAGAAGCCTGTAGGAATATGTACCAATGGAAAGGTACTTGGTCCAAGCAACAAACCGAGGCACGTGCTGCACAAAGTACCCCGATGTTAGAAGGAAACATAGCATGAGGACTGATCCCAGTGTGGTGGCTGAAGTTTGGTCCATGACAAGGGCGCCGATGGCCAGCCCGAACCCTTGAGACACCAATACGCTGAGAAGTAGAGAAAATAGAGTTGCGAAGAAGGCCGCGGCGGAGCGTTTGAGGGCCGCCATCCAGTAGATTATGAGGACGAAGACGGTGGGGAGGATGAGCTCCATCGGGAGGTCGCCGGTGGTCCTTGAGAGGAAGTAGGAGGAGAGCCTGTACATTCCGGAGGATCGTTCCTTTGCCAGGATCATGCGTTCTTTTGGGAACATGCTGATGGCTTGTAACAGAGGGAAGAAACCCCAGAAGCTTGATGAGAAGTAAAACAGCCCAATCTGCAAAGGTATTTGAAAATATGTCAGCTGGTTAATTAACACGATCATTGAAAAATTTGTATACCAAGGAGCAAAATTTTACATTATAACTTTTTAGTATATAAATTTTACATTATAACTTTTTAGTATATAGAATATTTTTTAAATTCCAAGTGTAGTCATTTAATTTCAAGTATGGTGACTTTTAATGCATTCCCGAACTTTCAATTTTGTATCTTAAGAGGTCGAAATTTGAAAGTTTAAAGATTTATTACGATACTTTATAAATTTTAAAGATCTATTAGACATAATTCCACAAATTCATGAATGGACTTATACACAACTTTAGAACTTGAGTAATAATTTTACTTAATGTCTTGATTCTGATATCTCTACTCTTTCCCTTAACTGGGGTGCTTTCCTACGGCCTCCATTTTGTATTTTTTTTTTACGTTTCTCACCCCACCTTTAGTGAGATGGTGGGTATTTATTTAGAAAAAAAGCCTCCAAATGTTTTGATTCTGAAAAGTTATGATGGACACTAGAGGAAAAAGGTTTTAAAATCCTAATTCTTTTGAATATATATATATATATATATTTTTTTTTTTTTGATAATCCAGGAGTCGGCGATTCTTTGGCTTTTATACCCCTATATCTGGTGGGTATGCACACTATCCCCATACCCATTATATACGTAAAGGGTTATTGTTTGGTGAAGTTGCGTTCCATGTGACTTGAACTCAGGACCTCCATATCTTTTGAATACATTTTGTAATCTAAGATGAACTGAGGGGTTATTGCTCCTGTTTCCTTCTTCACCAATACCTAGTTGTTGGACACTAGAGGAGTACTTCTTTTAGAGGACTCTACCCAAAATTTCCACACTAATTAATGAGAATTGAAATCTTGGTCTTCTTCCTTTATGAAACTTTAGCTGAGACACCATTAACACCATAGCCATACATTTGTAAAGCTGATATATGAAAGCAAAACTTGGAAAGAAAAAAAAACGGGTTTAAAGAGAAAGGAGAGAATATGAGACCTTATCTTGTAAATGGGAATCATCAGACTGCCACCACAAGAGTCCACAGATGAGTGCAACTGCTAAAACCTGCCCAACCTTAAGCCGAGAGAAGGATTCGTGCTTTCTTTCCTTAATTCCTCTCCTCAGCAGCACACAGAACTGTTGCCACCAAGTTGTGGACCAACGCCCCAACCCCTTGTCTTCTGCCCCATGATCTTCCAACAAATGCTCATCACTTTGTTGTACATCCAACTCCAACTTCTCCGCAATGTGGCTCTTGTAAGATGCTATAAGTTTCTGCTTAACCATGGCTGCTTCCTCCTCTGGATCATTCATTGACAAACCTACAATAGCTCACCAAAATTAATAACTACTTTAGTGTTTGGAATAGCTTTAAAGTGATTATTTTACATGGTTAGAAGTAAATTTTTCTTTCATGTTTGGTAATAAATAAAAAAATGCTTTTGGAATTTAAAAATATTTTTCTAAGAAACACTTGAAAGGTTGTATCAATCTCCAAAAATTGATTGATGAAGAATCTCTCTCAAATTACTTTGTAGAAATTTGGCATTTGTCGAATTAGGGATGTAGTGTAACCAAAACTAAAATCAGTTTTAAGATGCAATCAAATTACAAACTCACTCTAAAACTAAAATCAATTTTAAGATGCAATCAAATACAAACTAAAAAAGTGAGACAAATCAGAATGTTTACTGATTACAAACTCTCCGCTCCCCGTTGGTAATGTACTCAAGGGGTTTTTATGAGTGAAACTAAATCATAAGAGAAGACTGGATAATCGTTTAATTTTACCCATACAAAAACACTCCCAAATAAGTCTCATGCATAATATTATTAGTGTATAGTCCAATAATATAACTTTTAGGTTTTCTTTTTTTTTTTTTCAATTCAATAATCATTAATTTGCATGATTGAACCCAAGAGACTGGTTAAGTAAACTCCCATTAACAAAACACAAAACTGATTGTTTCCTTAATATGCAAGATTTCATCTTGAAAGAATTTGATACAAAAAAAGAAAATAGACAAATCAGTAACATACCATTGGCAAGATCCAGCAGAAAATCCGAAGGGTTCATAGGCACAGATGGAGAATACCCAATACTCGAGAAATAATCCATAGCCTCCGATCCCTTCCCAAAGTATATAGTGTTCCCTTCTGAAAGCAACAAGATCTTATGAAACATATAGAACAGCCGACTCGACGGCTGATGGATCGTCATCACCACCGTCCTCCCGCTGTTCGCCACCTCCCACAGCGTCGAAACAATCCTCTGCGCCGTGGTCGAGTCGAGCCCGGAAGTGGGCTCGTCCAAGAACAGCAAACTAGGGTTTATAAGCATCTCTTGCCCAATGCTCACTCTTTTTCTCTCCCCTCCAGAAACCCCTCTCAATGTTTGGCCTCCCACGACGCCGTTTTTRCACTTGCTCAGCCCCAGCTGGGAGATCACTGCCTCSGCYTGRGCCACTTTCTGTTGTTTGGTTARRGTATTGGGCAGCCTTAGAAGCGCAGTGAAGACTAGGGTTTCGGTGACGGTCAGGTGGGGGAGGAGAATGTCATCTTGAGTAACGAAACCGATGTTGCGCTTCATCTTATTGGAGAAAGGCTTCCCGTTGTAGGCTATGGTCCCGACCAGCCGTCCGCCGAGTCGACCGCCCAACGCCGTGAGGAGTGTGGTTTTGCCGGACCCTGACGGACCCAACATGGCCAGCATCTCCCCAGGACGGACCACGCCGGTTATTCCTTTCAATATCGTTCTCTCTTCCGAATTGTTGGCCTTCTTTGGAATCAAGAACCCTGCTTTTTTGGGTTTGATCTTGTAATTTACGTTGTGAAACTGCATCAGATTAAAGAGTAATCAAAGACCCACAAAACAAAATTGAAAAAAGAATTGAGTTATGTATTGAAAATGATCCATTTGATAATTACCATCAACGTGAGAGGGCGATTTGCCTTGGTGAAAAAGGCAGCGGCTTCGGATGGATCCGTCGTGTTGTTGGTCTGAGCTGCCTCAATGTCTGCCATTTTTGTGCTCTTTTTTCTTTTTTTCTCTCTCACGCAGTGATAAAAAGAAATCGATGGGAGGAATAACAGGGAGGAGCTGGTTATTTTGTCTTGTTTCAACAACTTCGTTGGGAAGTGGAAAAAAAGTGTGAGTAAGTAACACAAAGAGAGGATTTCGACGAAGAAAACTAGAAGAGAGAGTGTTTGTTTTTTTTTTCAGGATTTTGAATTGAAGATCTCTGTGGATCTTTCTCAACAAACTCTGCAGTTTTTCTTTCCTGAGATTATGGTCACCAGTTTTTTGCTTCCGTTTTTGTTTTGATCTCTGATTTTCCATTTTGTTTTTCGTAGCTAGGTTTCGTTTTGTTGTTGTTACTTTTTTTTTTTTAAATAAAATTTGATGGAAGGAGAATTTATTATGCCACATATGAAAAAGAGAATGATCCTGAAAATAAGGACACCCACACAATTTGAGGGCGCTGCATATGCAAGACGTAGATGAACATCAAAAAGCAGTGGTTGAAGAAAGGCCTCCTTGTGACGAACAACACTTGGAGACTCTTTGAAATCCAAATAACGCATTGGTCAACTGATTCAACTTTCTTTCTACAGATTGGGTACAAAGGTGAGACGTCTACCCTTCCTCTTTAGATTTTTTTTTTGTTTTTTTTTTCTCCATGTGATGTTGTTCATCTTAATCTTAGCGGGTG